AAATTCTAATCAGATAACATAAATCCTGACTTCTGCTTTAAATGGCATTGATATAAAGGTAAACAACCTTTCTGAATCAATTCAATTGGTGATAAAATTTGTCGTAATAATATATCGAAGTAGAATTTTAAAAAAGTTTTATGAACTGCTTTGGAATGATGAAGAAGCGAGAAATCATAACTACGTATAGTCTTGAATGTTCACTACTTTCAAAGATTAGTTTGAAATTATGTCGAGGTGGTAAAAATCTTTCGATAATTTTAATACTTCTGTTGTCTCTTACAATGTAGCCTTCTCAACTTGAAAATGACTTTTTGAGTTCAGACTCAATGCATAAGGCAGATTCCAATGAGGTATTACAAAATTCAAAATGATAAGAACCCATAGACATTGTCCACAATGTTAGAACCGTTTTAATGAAATTTAGGTTATAGCATGGCTTGTAGAAATGAATTAAATGATGAAATTTCGTCTACAGATAGGCCTACTTATAACTACAGAGTATCTCAAAAGTTCGGCGTGAAAGTAAATTTGAATAACTCCACTATTTATCAAAACTTAATCAACTGATTGTTTTTCCTCTTGGTAAGTATCACTGCGAAGTTTTTTTTTTTGATACGAACAAAGATCACAAATACTGTTCAAAGTTATTACTTTTGACTAAAATACAAAAAGCAATCGTTTTTTTTTAATTTCCAAAAACAATCACTATGCAGTGTTTCCCTTTTCTTGCTCTGATTTTTTGTGTTTCTTGTAGCGTTTAGATCGACTAGATCTGGGACTGTCGTTTCTATGCATTTGTTTTAGTATTTCACTATAAAAAGAAACCTAGTGATGTTAAGTCTGGCCATCACAAAGGTCAAGAAATCGCTTTGTGTTTCCGAATGGTGATTCGTAACTGAAAGAAGTAAACCGATGTTATGATCTTCGTAATCGCTAGACTTGATATCATTGAGCTTCTTCTTGTAGTAAAATAATACCAAAACAAATGCATAGAAACGATAGTTCAAGATCTAGTCGATCTAAACGCTACAAGAAACGCAAAAAATTAGAGCAAGAAAAGAGAAACACTGCATAGTGATTGTTTTTGGAAATCAAAAAAAACGACTGCTTTTTGTATTTTAGTCAAAAGTAATAACTTTGAACAGTATTTGTGATCTTTGTTCATATCAAAAAAAAAACTTCACAGTGATATCTACCAAGAGGAAAAACAATCAGTTGATTAAGTTTTGATAAATAGTGGAATTATTCAAATTTACTTTAACGCCGGACTTTTGAGACAACCTGTAGTTACAAGGAGACCTATCTATGGACGAAATTTCGTTATTCGATTCTTTTTTACAAGCTATGTTATAAGCTAAAATTTCATTAAAATGGCTATAACTTCGTAGGGAAGACCTATGGATCTTTATCGTTTTGAAGTTTCTAATACCTCATTGGTGTCTGCCGTATGTATCAAATCCGCACTCACAAACGGTTTTTAAGTTGGTAATGTTCCCTTGTTAGATATATCTTTGTTATATGGCAAACTTCAGATACATAAAATTGTTGCTATTGAACTGATAATTTCATCTAACCGATGAAACCGTTTGATGTTCTTCTCTTAAATAGAAGCATACATCTTCATTACGAATAATACTTTGCATAAAATAAAAGACTCCGGTATCAGATACTATTCATAGTGCTTATGTCGTTCTTTCTTTTATCTTTAATTTCTACTATATAATAACAAGACGCTATTTTAATTATAAATTTATCTTATTTAGACAATCATGTTGTTTTATTATTTTACACAAAGATCTATTACAATGATGGTTTGGCTTTTTGTGTTTTAAATAACGATTGATTTGACAAAAAAAATGATAAAAAAAGAAAATTCACATATTCACGCACAGAAAAAAAAAAAAGGAATAATGAGCATAAATTTAATACATTCTTATAAAATCAGAATAGGAATGATTATTTTCTTTTTGGTTTAATTATTTTTTAAGACATACAACATGTATTTTTCTTTTTTCCTTTACGAGCATGTCGATCTGGTGGACGACTACCGGATACACGACGTTCATCAAGTGTATCAAACCAATTATCAACAGCACCCATTAGTACTTTGACAACATACTTATAAAGAAAAAAAAAAGAAAATTATTTTTTTTTTAATTAGAAAAACAATTAATTTATTTACTTACATCACCAAAACTAAATGGAAAATCTTTTCCTTGTGCTTTATGAATTTCTTCTCGTTCAGATCTATAATCATCAGCAACATCAATATTAGGTATTTTCTTATCCCAATTATTAAGATAACTAGAAATAATAATAATAATAATAATAATAATAATAAAAGATAATAAATATTAGAAAAAAAATACAAAAATTTCTTTACCCAATACATTCATTATCATCTGTACAAGCAATTATTGTAACTGGAATGCGATTGATTGGTTTACGTTCATGACGAAGTGCATGTTCTAATGTTTTTGTATCGTGTTGTCCATTATCATCTGTTGGTACACCATCTGTAGCAATCAATATTAATAATTTACGTTCTTGAACTTCAAGTTGTTTTTCTTGTAAAATTTGTCGAAGTATACGAACAATTGGTGTTGGTCCTATGATAATATTGTAATTGATAAAAAAAAGAAAAATTTTTTTTCTTTTTTCATATTCTTATTTACCAGATGGTGGAATAGCAAATACAGGAATAAGTTGTTCAGCATTTTTAACATTACGCATTGGTTGACGATTTAAAAAGAAAATGTCTAAATTTAAATTATTATGAAGACTTTAGTTTTTTTATTATTTTCTTATTTACCAACACCAGTTGGATCAAAACTTCATTATATAGACAGAATAAATATTAATTTAAAAATATATTGAAATAAAACTAACTTACACAGAAGCAATATCAACTACAATCGAAACTGTTTGTCGAAGTTCATCCCATCTTGTTGGATTACGATCATATGGACCAGTGATATCACCTAATTTATTTCAAATATTCATTATATATAACAAAATAACAGATGCGGCAGAATAAATATCCCTCGAAGTATTTTCTCAATATCACCACATAAAACTCGCCGGATTGGTCTCGGACTCATGCAGATCGAAGTCTGAAACTTTTAGAGCCGGCGGGCTCTAACGTTATGCCTTAATCTTTTTTTTTAAAGATTAATTCATTGAAGTTTGAAACTAAAATGGAAAAAAATATATAGCAGTCTTGTAGCATTTGAAAATCTCTATCTTGTAATTAGGGCAGTAAAGTTTATGTATCAATATCAATCATGTAAATGAATTATTTCTTTTTTCCAAACTTAAGAAAAGTTTGCATTAATCAACGAAAAAATTATGAGTTCATATAATTTAACTTTATTTCAATTTCAAACGAACTGAATGATGTATCAAACTGAAATGTCAGGATTTCAATAGAGCCTTTTATTAATGTACATTGAGCGAAACAAGCAAAGTTTTTAATAAAGTAATTTTATACGTCAGAAAGCTAATTTGATTGAAATGAATTTCATTGTACATCATGAAAAGGTTCGTACTTAGTTACTACTCTGTCATATTTTTATATAATTTATATAAAGCTAGAAAAAGAAATGTTGCATTGTTCTGGAAAAATAACTTTTGAAAATATTAGAGCTTTTTGTAGTATTATTTATCTAATATATTCCTGCTTAGTATTTTGTAGTAAAACTTGTAATACATTCTCTTGTAGAAAATAGAATTATGAATCTTTTTTATAAAAAGAAAAGATTAAGGCATGATAATATATATTGACAAAAATACTTAGAGATATATTTATGTTTGTGCATCTATTATCTTACCAAGTGGTGTATTCATTGATCCAGAATCTAAATAGATTTAAAAAGAAATTATTTTATATAAAAATAGAATCATCATCAAAACGAAATATTTTTCATTTAATATTATTGTCATCTTACCATCAACAATAAATACAATTTCATATCCTTCTAATCCTCGTAATCTTGTTGCAAATTCTCGATTAATTTCATAACGATCAACTAGATATTGAAATTTGCTCATACGTTCTTCATTTGTTTCTTGTAATGAATTATAACCAACTTGATTTGTTGGTGACGGTAATACAGGGTATTGTTGTGGATTCATATTCAATATAACATTAGTTTATAAGTAATAAAAAAAGAAAAATGTTTTCATGACGTCTTTTTTTTCCTGTACTTCTCTTTGTCTTAATGTTGACTTTCCATTTGAAGCCAAATATAAGTTGTTATTTGAATAAGAAAAGAAAAAAAAAAAAGGCGATCTAAAAATAGTTTGTCTTTTTAATAGATGAAATTATATTGATATGTTTATTACTCAACAAAAAAGAGGAAAATACAAAGAGAACATACTGAATAATGCCTGACATTGAATGTAAATAAGCTCTTTTATTTTAACAAGAATTTGATGCTGATGTCAGAAAAAAAAATGGAAAACAAACATGAATCATAGTAACACTCAATTGTGAACAATACTATTCTCTATTCAGTTTTGGGTTTCTTATCCCCTTCAAGCATACAATAAAGTTGAAGCATAGTAAAAAGATACATACAGATGAACTTCCATCTGTTAGACTATTGTATATAATAATAAAAATATGTATAAATATATTATATGAGGTGCATACAAAAAAAAAAAAAAAGAAATAAATTGTCATGCGCAACACATCATTAAAATATACAATTAACTGCAATAAAATTATGCATGTGTATTTCACAGTTAGATGATAATGATTTGTCGACCAGAAAAAATTTGATAACCAAAATCAAGGCCACTAAATTGAAGGTGAATCTGTGTAATATGAAATTGAAATTTATTGATCATAAAGGGTATGAAATCAAACATGTAATAGTGAATAATTAATATTTGATTATATTTAGATATCTTCGCCATTTATTTTTTTAATCAAAAGAAAAATATTTGATAGAAAGAGTTTATTGTTACTTGTGGAGTTATCCAAAGAAGTTTTGTTATAAGATAATACAATTCGATTTCTTACGATGTGAACCAGCACTTGTTATTCGTCCATAACCATCTGTCGCTACTTTCTTTTCATCTAAATCATCAAACCAACTATCAACTCCACCCATTAGAATTTTAACAACATACTTTATAAAAATAGAAAATAAATTAATCAAAACAAAAAAAAGAAAGCCAATCATGTTATTGCTTACATCACCAAAACTGAAAGGAAATTGTTTTCCTTGTCGTGCTTGAATTTCTCGTTTTTCATTTCTATAATCATCTACAACATCAAGATTAGAAATTTTTTTATCCCAATCATTTAAATATCCAATACAATCATCATCATCTATTGTAAAAACGAAAAATTTATAAAAATTTTATTTTATTTTTTAATTTTTCTTACCTGTACAAGCAATAATTGTTACAGGTATACGATTAGCAGGTCTACGTTCATGCTTAAGAACATATTCAAATGAACGAATATCTCGATGACCTTGATTATCAGTTGGTACACCATCTGTAGCTATAAGTATTAATAATTTACGTTCTTCGACTTCCTGTTGTTTATCATGAAGTACACGTCGAAGAGTCGGAACAATTGGAGTTGGACCTTAAAAAAAATCTTTTGTTGTTTTTTTTTTTGAAGATATTCAATTGTTAAAAATACCAGATGGAGGTACAGCAAAGATAGGTATTAATTCTGATGAACTACGAACATGAAATAAAGGTTCACGATTAAGAAAATAAATATCAACACCATCTGGATCAAGAACACTTGCAATATCAACAACAATTGATACAGTTTGTTTTAATTCATCCCCTATGATAACAGAAGACAAAAAAAAAAAGAAAAATTCTTTTCGAAAACAAAAAAAAAATGTTCTGAAATATCAATTCATACATCGAGATGGTGCTTTATCAAAAGGACCCGAAAGATCACCTATGAAAATAAGAATAATTAATTTTATATATCTAATAAACAAAAAACAACAACAGCAAATATGAATAAATTACCAAGTGGTGTATTCATTGAACCTGAATCATCACAAATAAATACAATTTCATATCCTTCAAGAGCACGTAATTTTCTAGCAAATGTATGATTAACTAAATCAATAAAAATAAAATCAATTATAAAAGTTTGAAAAATTCTATAACTCACTTTCATAACGATCAACAAGATGTTGAAAACCAGCCATACGTTCGTCACTAGTTGTATGATAATTTGGTAATGACTGACGATATGCTTGTTGATTTAATTGCGTATTAGTATCATATGGTGGTGGTGCAGATGGTACAGATGGATATTGTTGTGGATACATTTCTTAGTTTATGTTATATGATAATATTATAAATATTTACTATCAAATATTAACTT